GCTCACTTAACCACCAAGCCACGGGGCCGGCCCAGATAGTTGTTATTTTAAACCTAGTCTCAAGTAGTAAAAGGACTCGGATGAAATTCCCAACCCAGTGGGTGATCCTGGGCCTAGAATAAAGTTTTATGACCCTAACCATGATGTTCTTCTGCCTCTTCTCATCCTTTCCCGATAAAACCAATTTCTTCTTTCCAAGTATCAGACATGGTCATTTTCCCTTAGGAATATCCATCTTAACTACTCAAAACTGAGGGAAGATGAACTCCCTCCACAAATGGATACCAGACTCCAGAGCGACTTTGGTTGGCACAGAGAACAGATTGGGCTCTAAGCATTGTGCCTATGGCGCTCACGTGGACTCGGACAACGTTCTAAATGGATCAAGACACATAGCAACCACATGTCCCCTACAGGGATGAAAAAAGACCTCTTTCCAAATTATTTTCTGTAGTTTTTAAAAGAAATTTATTCTACTTTTCATCTTTCAAGGGTCATCTTGATCATTACAAACTTTTCTAAGGTATTCATTATTGAGAAAACACATTCTCAAATTTTAAAACAAAATTATAGTTGTCCACTCTACTATGATTAAAAGAAGCTGCATTGGGAGAAAAAAATTTAAACATAGTTACCAAAAAAATGTGAAGAAATATTCATAAAAAGAAGACTCAATAAGTCAGTAGTTTTACTCTTTCTTGAACAACTAGTTTAAAACAGTGGAGCGTAAAGCACTCCTCACCTAACCACGCACCATGTTGGGGAGCATCCCGGAGTACAAAGGGCTGTATTAGAACTGAGACACTGGTCCACGCATTTGTGTGAGTGTCAAGAAATGGTGTCATGGGTTTTTATATTGAATGAATTATTTTTATACAAAGTTTATTGATGAATGTTTATTTTGGAAAGCTGCTGAAGATGTCTATTTTTCAAAATTAATTATGCTTAAGATGTATGGCATTAAATTCAATTTTATGGGGATCTTTGACTGGATACTTGACATAACATGTCCATTCAAAAAACCTGGAACTGAGAAAGAATATGGAAGATGTTTAATTTTGTAGTGAAATACCTATAATGTTGATATTGTACTTTTAAAACTTGTCCCTAAGTATTTGGCATGCAGTTAACACTTTGTCTTTAATTGTAATTGGTATGTTAATAAATGTTATAAACATAAGCACTGAGATATGCATCACTAACTGTTCTATAAAATTTAATTATCCTTATTCTCCTTTATGTCCCTAAAGTCATAAAGAACTGTAAATTATGACTGTGAATATTTTCATTTTTTATCGTTATGAATCATAAGCAATGTTAGAATTTTGAGAAATGGAAAATCCAAATAGAATTATTATGAATTTAATTTATTATAGGATTATTTTATCCATTGTATGATTACTACTCTCAGCAAAAAAATTGAAAATATAAAGAAGTAATTCTTGTAGTTTATGTAAGTAGTTAATATAAAATTGTCATCCATCATTAGCTTTTGTGTCTTCAAAATTCCTACAAACATAATGCCTTGCCTTTAGAAGGAGTTTGAAAACATTTTAGATCCAAGTGTTTCCCTTCTCTGTTCCTCTCTCTGGTCTCTACTCAATAGATCACCCCGCACCAAATTCTTGCTGGCATTATAGCCACTTGTGATGAAAAATTATTCATTTTAAACATCGAAAGCTCTTTAGTTTGATTCTTTAGTTCCTTAAGAAATCTTGATTTGCAGTGATTTACAAACATCTGTTTGGTCACTCAGGTTTCTAGCAATTTGAGATTTTAACTAGTATTTGAGCTAGTATTCAGATATGTTCTCTTTCTTGCTTTTTAATTTTAAAATGTAAATAAAACAAATACATCTGAAGGAAACAAAAACACTAACTCGAAAAGATATATGCACCCCCACGTTCATTGCAGCATTATTTACAATAGCTAAGATATGGAAGCAACCTAAGTGTCTGTCGATGGATGAATGGATAAAGAAAATGTGGTATATATACAC